AAGCTCAGAGAACCCCACGGACTCCACAGTTCAACCCTGAGCTACACATATTCGCTTCTATTGGTACGCCTCCAATTTCTATTCGGGAGTCAGTGATTTGGAAGTAGGAGAAGCAGAGGAAAGGGACCCTTGTAACAATTCTTCACAGAAGCAAGTTAAAGCTGCACTTGAATGTGGGAATGTTCACAAGGCAGGCTGGAGAATGAGCGCACGCTTATTCACCTCATAGGAAAAAAGTGTGACCTTAGTTGAGACTGCAAAGGAAGCCAGAGATTCTCAGGGAAGCCTGACAGCCCCCAACCCCCAATCATCACTAGCTTTCCTCAGAAGCTATGCGCAAACCTTAACAAGGAGTATCCCAGCAAGCATTGGCTTTGACGCCCCTTTATGGCCACACACGTGTGAACAGCCACATACACAGGCATTCAAACTGGTTCCAGCCAAGACTCAGTCCTGCTACTAGTTCTCATTTAACTGGTTGAAAAAGGGTTTTGCCTTCAATTGTCTAAGGTATGAGGCACCCAAGGGGCTCTCCACCAATGCACCATCCACTCTCCAATGGTCTGTTGCTCCTGACTTCCATGCAGTCCCAAAGGAAGGCTTCAGGAGGAACAGAAAGTCCTATGGTTGGAGAAAGTCTCTTTCCACCCCGTTTCTCTGCCCACAAACTGGGTGGAGAAATTCAAACGCAAAAACAAAAAAATCAACCTGAATTGAAACTATCCCAAAGAACAAACCATCCCCAGAAAAAAGAGCAGGTCTCCTCCATACGTGTTTAACTTGTGCCCCATCTTGTGAGAGACAAGGCAGGAAGAAAATCTGCAGATTTCGATACTGGAGGGCCAATCCAGGTAGTTGGGACAGCATGTTGTCAGCTGTGAAAGGCAATTTGCCTTGCTTTCAGATAAGTGCTCAGTTAAAATGGGAGAGGGGACCCTACAGGAGAGGTTGGGGGTCTGGGATCACACCCTTCCACTCAACGCTTCACTGGCAAGAGAGAAGTCTCCATGGAAAACAGGCCATCTCCTTCTCTACAGCAAGGGGAACCGGGGAGGGGAGGGGAGGGGAAGTTGGCCTTCAGTGCTTTGCTCCTGGGCCCAAAGGTCTTTGCCTAATCTTGACAGATGCACTTTCAAACAGAGCAGTGAGCATGAAGGTTAGAATTAAACCTGAATACAGTAGCGGCAAATTAGGCCAGTGAATGGGCTCCAAAGAAGTTGGTCCAATAACTAGCTACTCAGCTGTTTTTTTTTTTATGTGAAGTTCAAGTTTGAGTGGCTGATTTACTGCACACTTAGAATCACTGAATTATAGGGTTGGAAGGGACCTCAAAGGCCTTCTAGTCCAGCCCAGAGCAGGAATCCTCAGATCATCCCAGACAAATGGCCATCATGCCTTATCGTGAAAAGCTCCAGTGATGGAGCACCCACAACCTCAAATGGCAGACTGTTCCACAGCTTAATGGCTCTCAGAGTCAGGGAATTCCTCCTTATTTCAAGTTTAGATCTTCCTCTGTTAAGCTTCCACTCATGGGTTCTTGTCAACCTTGACTACTAGGGAGAATAAATCCACACCTTCTTCCCTTCAAGTACTGGACAGCTGCTATCATGCCTCCCCCTAGCCTTCTCTATTTTAGCCATCCTTCATATGATTCAGCCCCCAAGCTCTTCTCCATCCTTGTTGCTCTTTTCTGCAAGCTTTCCAGTTCTTCAGCATCTTTTGTATTGTAGTGACCAGAGACTGGGCACACTATTCTGGGTGTGGTCTGGCCAATAGAGCATTATCCCGTCCCTTGATTCCTTGGAATGATTCCTGTCTATATTAATTAGCGATGACTTCCCAACCTCTTAGGTACTGCTCTTTTCTAACCTTACCTGGAGATGTTGAAGACTTAATATGAGATTCCATGCATGAAATCCATGAACTCTTCCACAAACCTACCACTCTTTGCATCTTCTGGCAAATATATGAGAAAGTTAGCCCTGGGCTGAATCTTAATGGCTCACACTGAAAATGGCCATACAATGCCATGTAAAGTTTTAGGAGGCAGCAGGAAATTTGTACATCTCATGCAGGGCCTGTCAAAAGTCCCATCTCTTCTTTTAGTACCAAACACCATTTATTTACACATGATGATCATGTGACCTTGAGATTTACTAGATGGGAATTTCTGAACCTTCTCAATGGCATTCACCAGTTTTTAAATCTTTATCTATTTGCCTTGGCAACCTTGTTGGGTGGAAGATGAGATATAAATAAAAACACGTAAGAACAATTTTTCATATTAATAACATGCATTTGTTACAACAGTTCAGAAGGAGAGAGTATGCATCTGATCCCAGTTCCACAAGAGCCCAGGAACTGGATTCTTTTTTTTTTTTTTGGTTAAATAAAAAACAAGCTCAAAAAACAAGAAGATTTTAACCCTTAGGATTGCAAAAATATGCCTGATCATGTACAGGCCTGATACCTGCACTTGTTCTGACCAGGGAAAGAAAACATTTCATAAATTAGAATACATAAGAGAATAATAGAACATAAACTATAAATTATGAACAGTTAAAATCTATACTGCTTATGGAATAGCTTTTTTGTTGTTGTTGATGATGATGCAAAACTCTCATTCCTTATAAGTTTTTTCTTTTAAATATAGAAAATGTGAGAAAAGCAGCGGTTTCACTCACCAGAGATCTCGGTCTTCAATGGTTTTATCATTTGGAGCTCCAGCATGACCATAGTGCAACACCGAGCTGTTATCTCCACTGAAAGGACAATACATAGTATAAATGTTCTGTGAATTACCAGCCTAGAATGAATTAAAAAAAAACAACTGTACAAAATATTGCAAAAAAATAATGAACGATACAGCTTTACGCCTTATTCCAGTGTTTGGTGAAATTATTAATCCTGAATCTGCAAGAACTAGAAACTTTTTCCTGCTCAAAATGAACCCTGGGTATCACTTGATCTCTTCAATGGACAATCTCAACTCTGAAACAAAGGAAAGGGGCAGGAGAGAAACGCCACAAAACCTCCCTTCGGGACCTCCCAACCAGCCTCCTTCCTGCTCAGCTGAGTATCTGCCCTTCCTTGCAATTGTTCCCCATTGTGCTGGGAATTCTTTTTGTGGCATAAAATGCTGCCTGTGAAAATATTGTATTTGATTTCTCTCTCTCTCTTGCATTCTCTTTCTTACTTTTGTGCCAAGCATTCAAAGGCAAACTTTGACCAAAGGAAACAAACACACACTTTTATCCCACAAGGCAGATGCATCACCAGGAGGTCAAGGCAAAAAACAAGAGTGTTTGAGGCCCACTTCTGAAAATGCCTTTCATCTCTTTGGTGCCCTATTTCTTGCTATAGAACCCTTTTATTATTCCCTTTAGGTTCATCAAATGCCAAGTTAAAAGGATGGAAGAAAAAACCCAGCCCTTGTGCAGCTTCTCCATTATGGCAGTTCAGACGTAGCATACTGGGGAAGCCTGCTCTGGAGATAACAAAATCACAGAATGTACGAACTGGAGGGAACGTACATGCTGACCCACTCCTTAGTACTAATATCCACCAAACCACTGCTGATAGGCGACTACCTATTTCCATCTAATAACGTTCAGTGAGGGAGAGTCCACCCCGCTTCACAACAGACTGTTCCAATACTTAACATTAACTGTCAGGAAATCTGTCCTAACGGTCAGCTTAAACCTTCTTTATTTTCATTTCATCTACTGGTCCTCATCCTGCTTTCCTTTCTTGCATGCTACTGTCAGCCCTTCAGGATGCAAAAGAGCAGGAAAGAGACACAACAAATGCTAGAACTCTATTAATATTGGCTATCATACTCCTGAAAACTTAACAGTGTTTTCCTTCCCTCTTAAACTAAAGAGTTTCAAAGTGGAGCAGTACTGGGTTTCTTTCTCATACCCTCCTGTTTTCCCAAGCCACGTTCATGTTCTCCCATGGTTGCTGTAGGTTTCCTTCAAGGCCATCTCCATACTCCTCTACAGGAATTGCCATTTAGACATTGGAAGGTCTACTATCATCTCTCTTCTTAGCCTTCTCTTCTGCAAGCTAAATACACACCTCTTCAACCATTCCTGATAGAACTTGGCTTCCAGTTCCCTTATCAGCTGGAGAGTTCTCTGAACCTTTTCTAGCTTTTCTGTATCCTTTTAAAAATATAGTGCCCCAAACTGGTTATGTTATTCCAAGCAGAGTCTGCCCAATGCAGAGCATAATGGATGTGTTACATTCTATAATCTGGATTCAATGCTTTTGCTAAAGCCATACTTGCGTTGGTCCTTGCAGCTGCTGCATCAGCTTACTAGCTGATGTTCAGCTCATGGTCCACGAATACTCCTAGATCTTTATCACTGTTTAACATCACCATACTGAATTTTGCCCAATGTTCAAGGTTTATTGGTAACTCTGAATTACGATTTTGTCCTCTTAGGCAGGATTTTTCAAACTATGAGACATTAAAGGCAAAGAAAGAAAGGAAAGAACTCACTCAAAGACAGCTAGTTTCCATTACTAGAGTTTTGTCCACTGATTGGGGTTCTGGGAATTAAAACCAAAAACTAACAGATTCTGTGGCCTGAAAAAGTTTGAAAACCCCTTGCTCTTAGGTATTTGCCACTCATCCAAGCTTAATATCATCTCCAAAGCATTCCATCCTCCGGAACATTTTAAAAGATTACCCTAATTCTGCAATTGACTGGTCAATGCATAATAATTTCCACACTTATTTTGGGAGCAGCTGTTTGATAAATTGAAAATCACCAGACTTCAGTAATGTCTAGTCCATATTTATCCATCTTGTCACAAGGATATTATGAGAGGCCTTATCAAACGTTTTTCTGAGATGAAGGTATATATCAGCCTCACTAGGTAGACGAGACCATGGAATCAATTCCACAGGATGTCTACAACTTCTTTTACAGGTAGTCCTCAGTTAACAACTGTCCTGTTTAGCAATTGTTGGAACTTAGGGCAATACTGGTTTACAATTGATCCTCAAACTTACGACAGTTGCAGCATCCCCACAGTCGTGATCACGATTGAGGCACTTGGCAACCGGTGCACATTTATGATGGTTGCAGCATCCCGCAGTCACATGATTGCCATTTGCAACCTTAACAGTTGGCTTCCAACAAGCAAAGTCAATGGGGAAGCCGGCAGGAAGACGCAGTCACATGACATGCTTAAAGACCATGGGCGATTCGCTTAATGACCACAGTGGAATTGACATAAGTCAGGCACAATCACGTGATGTTTCACTTAACAGCCATGTTGCTTAGTGACCGAGTTGCTGGTCCCAATTGTGATCGTTAAGTGAGGACTATCTGTATTGAGATTGGCTATAATAACAGATTCTTGCAAGTCTGATTGCACTAGATCTCCACCACTTCTTATACCCCAGTGAATCAAAGAAGCGTCTGCCTGAGCCACTTCTGAATGTTATCTCATTCTGGGCTTAAAAAATGCTTTAGTCCTTTTTGCCTAGGCAACAGCTCCTGTGTATCTCCATCAAGGTTGTCTTCCTTACTCTCTACAGTATACTACATTCGCTGCATTCCCCTGGTCTACCAAACTAGTTACACTTCCATAAAGACAAGAAGGCTTGTTTGATGTAACTATCAACCACACCAACTTTAGTAATGGTAAGATCCTTTTCAAAACATTCACAGACAATCTTAACAATCTTTCTGAATCTTGCCCAGTGTGGAGGTTAAATTAACTGGATGGAAGTTATTGCCAGTTCCTTTTACACCCTGGGACATAAATCATCTGGAAATGGAGATTTGAATTCATTTAAGATAACAAGATGGGTCCTTACTATGCTTTTATCAATCTGAAATCATCCCTTTTTCCTCAGTCATGTGAAGATGTCTCTTTCCCTCTGTTGAGAGACCATGGATAGGTAGAATATGTTAAGCAGTTCTACCTTCTCTGCATTCAGCAGTGTCGGAGGTGGCAAAATCTGAATTATGGTAGGTGCAGCGTTGCCCTTTTTGGACATGTAGAAATATTTCATCTCAGGGGGAATGAGCTGTTTCATGGTGAGGGAGCTGCCACTTAGAAGGCCATCTCCCTTGACTACTCCCACAAGTGAGATCCTTAGCTAATGTAGATCCTCTTGGCCTACATAGAGTACTAGTGCAGATTCTACCAGAGTTAGATGATCCCAGAGGTAATGATGCCCTGGGCTATAAATTGCTTTATATGTTATAACCAACACCTTGGCCTTGATCTGGAGGCATACTGCTTTGCAAGTGTATAGTTGGTACAAAACTGGCCACTAGCAAGTGAGCAGTTACATTCTGGACTAACTGAAAGTTCTGAATTGCTTTCAAAGGCATCCCTATTTAATTGCAGTAATCCAAGTACAAAGAGACAAGGGTATCTTATGTCGCCAGAGCCTCCTGATCCAGATAAGGCCACAACTGGTGCACCAGCAGAAACTGGGCAAATGCCTTCCTGGCCACAAGTGCCACTTGTTGAGTCGAGAAGAACTTTCAATTTCTCAACTGCTCTTTCAGGTGTGGTGCCACACCATCCATAACTAAAGATGGAGGTATTCTGGGACCCATAAGCTTCTGAACAAATAGCATTTCTGTTTTGCTGGGATACATCGTTCTACATCTCTTGCTTAGTTTGGAATGGAGATCCAGGGCTGGTTATCATCAACCTATTTATTTAATATATTTCATCCAGTTTTGGTGCTGCCTGACTCCAGAACAACTCTTAATATAAATAATAAATATTTAAATATTGATGATACTTTGCCCCTAATAGATGGATGACCTCTCCCAATGGCCTCATATAGATAATGCACAAAATAAGTAACCTACACTGGAGTTCACACCACCTCCTCCGAAGAATAAAAACTACTGCAAAAGAGTGTCTCCAATTAAGCCCAGTGGCAGATCATTCAATGCTCTTTCCACCTATGCCTGTGTCTGAACCAAGATTAGAGGGAGTCCAGATAAGCAGTTTTACCCAGGGCCCTCCATGATTGCCATTCTACCACCTCTTCAAGTTTCCCTAGCAAGGGCTGGATGGAGACCAGCCAAAAGTTGTCCAAAATAACTGGATTGAATAACCACCATTGCCCCTTTCAAGCCTGGTGGCAATGCTCTCTTTCTCAAAGAGGCATTCATGACCACCCAAAATTCCTCATCTCTTCACCAGCAGTTCACACAAAGGTCAAGAGCAGATAGTGGAGCTCATCTTAGTGAGAACCCAAGTGAGAACTAGGTTCAGTTGAATCACAGATGACATTGCAAGATGTTAACTCCTTGGATTCCACCCAGCCAGCATTCGGCTCTGAGCAAATGTGAAGATTTTGTCTTCAAAATGCCTTGCAAACAAGTTACAGTGGCCTGCAGGGCACTCCTCTACTCTGTTGTTTTGCAACAGATAGCAGGTGGCCCTAAATGAGGCTGCTGAAGGCAATCCAAAGATATGATTTGGGTAGAGAAGCATCAATCAAATGCTTTGTGGTCCTGGCCAACATATCATAGGCCCAAACCTGGACACGTACTTTCGTTTACTCATATTCATTCTTCATCAGCGTCACTCCAAACACCTCTTCTGATGTCTCATCTCTTTGAGTTCCTCTAGAACCCAGAGTCCCTTGGTCTCTTACAAGGCTGAAATTGCCTCTCTTTCAAGATGACCATAGGAGTATCTGCTCAGGGCCCCTTCCTAGGCTGAGGTCTGTCAGTGGCTGGCCAGGTATAGACCTTCCCTGTTCTGGAAT